CCTCTAGTGGCTGTCTCTTGACAGCCGCTAGAGGCACTTGTGTGCTTCTCACTATGCGTGCTTCTCACTTGCGTGCTTCTCACTGTGCTTTCCTATGGACTGGCTGAATGCGCTCGCGGCTCCTGCCGTGCATGCGCATTCAGCCGAAGAGGAGGAGAAGAGGGAGAAGAGGAGGAGGAGAGCTCCCCGCCCGGCGCTGGAGAAAGAGGTAAGTTTAACCCCTTCCTCTCCCCAGAGCACCCTCAGGGCACTATAGTGCCAGGAAACGAGTATGTTTTCCTGGCACTATAGTGGTCTTTTAAGAATTTTAATTAAATTCAAGTGCAGTAAATATGAGTATTTCATAAATATTGTATCTTTATGGTATACTTATTATTTTTTTTATTTTTTTTTTTTCATTTATATAGCACCAACATGATCTGCAGTGCTTAAATGTAACAGGGAGATAATAAAGTCACAGTAAGGGATTCATATTTTAATAATAGTGATTGTTATATAATTCATTAAAATGTGGATTATTATAGTTAATCGTATTATCATTATTATGTTTACGTCTATCTTTCATCATAGTGGTCTTGATAAAGGGCAGGGCAACTCCCATTCCTTATTCCGTTGGTGAATTTCGACTTTTTATCATTCTTATCCTGCCAAATTCTGATCGGGAGTAAAATGATCCTGCTTTAAAACATACAAAGTATAGTAATTTTCCCATATGAATATGCAGTAACATTATACTACTTTGTAGATTATGTTTGTATTTTTATGATGTTATTTTTCTCCACATTGTTAGTGCAAATTCTTATATAACAGTTACAGAAATTGTATGGTTAATATTTCTGGAAAAAAAACTTTATGTAATGATGTTTTGAGGAGCATTTGTGTATTAACACGTAAGAGGGGGACAATAACACATTAATGCCCCCATTGGAAAAGCTAAGAAAGGCACAATCTAAGAGCTATATCTTAGATATACACAAATCACAAGAACAGGATGTGTACATAGCTTTGTATACTAAACACTATGTATCTGCACTGCAAACATGAAAGTGTAGCCAAAAAAATGCTAATCTGAATGATTTAATTCCCTTCAATGTTATATAACAGCCGAGTATACAGGATCTTATTATTTAATTGAGCTGCAATTCAATATTTGCTTGTGCTATGTGGTATGTTTTCCAAAGGGGAAAATCTTTTGCAATCTTACAGCAGTTGCACAATAACAGAGAAGAGACACAGCAGTACTACAATGCACATGGCATTACTCATGCCTCCCAACTTTTAAAATAGTCAAAAAGAAAACAAATATTCTTAAGGCAAATCATGAATTTTTAGATTGTCATGACTTATCGATAGCCTGTCATGCAATTGGTTAATGCATTTAAAAGAACCTAATATTTTATTTACATTAGTTGCTTATAAAGTAATTTACATTTAAAACATGTAATACAGCTAGCTTTATTGCTGTGGGTTTTTGTGATACACTCAATATTATAGTATTGCAGTTATAGAGGCCTATCAAACCCTTTGTGCAGAATTCTACAGTGCACATTACTGTGAGCTTTATTGATGTGGAGCTCAGTGATAAATACACAGTGCAGAGCTTTATCGATGTGGAGCTCAGTGACAGATAAATACACAGTGCAGAGCTTTATCGATGTGGAGCTCAGTGATAAATACACAGTGCAGAGCTTTATCGATGTGGAGCTCAGTGACAGATAAATACACAGTGCAGAGCTTTATCGATGTGGAGCTCAGTGATAAATACACAGTGCAGAGCTTTATCGATGTGGAGCTCAGTGACAGATAAATACACAGTGCAGAGCTTTATCGATGTGGAGCTCAGTGATAAATACACAGTGCAGAGCTTTATCGATGTGGAGCTCAGTGACAGATAAATACACAGTGCAGAGCTTTATCGATGTGGAGCTCAGTGATAAATACACAGTGCAGAGCTTTATCGATGTGGAGCTCAGTGACAGATAAATACACAGTGCAGAGCTTTATCGATGTGGAGCTCTGTGACAGATAAATACACAGTGCAGAGCTTTATCGATGTGGAGCTCCATGACAGATAAATACACAGTGCAGAGCTTTATCGATGTGGAGCTCCATGACAGATAAATACACAGTGCAGAGCTTTATCGATGTGGAGCTCTGTGACAGATAAATACACAGTGCAGAGCTTTATCGATGTGGAGCTCAGTGACAGATAAATACACAGTGCAGAGCTTTATCGATGTGGAGCTCCTTGATAGATAAATACACAGTGCAGAGCTTTATTGATATGGAGCTTGGTGATAGATAAATACACAGTGTAGAGCTTTATTGATATGGAGCTTGGTGACAGATAAATACACAGTGCAGAGCTTTATTGGTGTGGAGCTCAGTAATAGATAAATATATTGGTGTGGAGCTCAGTGATAGCTTCATATATAATATGCATTGCTGTGAGCTTTAATGACGTGATGTAGATAGATAGATAGATAGACAGACACGATGCAATACTGTGAGCTTTATAGATGTGGACCTCAGTGATAGCTTCATTCACAGATCACCACAGTAGATGTTCTTTCCAATCTATGCTCATTCTTTTGTCAGATCATTGCCATGATCCACTCTTACTCATAGAATGGGCACAGAGATGTAAATGAATTCTTAACAAGCATTCCCCCATGAACTTTAATCTTAATTTATTATATTAATTTATTATATTGCCAAACTTAAATAATGATTTAACGAATCTTAAACAAGCTCCTACTCCTCCTCTAAAGAACATTTGGCAATTAGTACAGTAGGAAACCTAAACTTATTGTGACTAAGTGGAAATCCTTGATTTTACCAGCCTTCCTCTTCTATCAGCAGTTGGAAGGAAACATAGCCAAGGAACATTAATAAATCGACTGCTTATAAATATCTGTTCAAACGACTCATAGTTTAAACTGTAGGAGGAAATGCTATATGTAGTAGGCTTCATTGTAATTAACACTTTCTGTAAGTCCATGCACGCAGTGTTATTCAAAACAAGCTGTCCATAGAAAGCATACAAAGATTCTATTTTAATGTATCAGATTTTAAACAATGCACATCCGTTGCCTGGCTCTAGGCCCCATTCAAATTAGTCGCAGTTATATAGGCATCTCCTGCATGTCTTCTCAATAATTTGCCTCGCAACCAAACTTTATGTGCTATTTCAAGACCACTATACATAAACATTTGCCATGGGCTTATGTGTGATATATGTATGGTTTTCTGAGAACCCATAGGCAATCAGCTTAGAGCACTGTGTATAGTGTTGTGTTGATAAACATGAATGTAAGGGCTCTTTTACAATCGTATCGCTATTTATTACTGGCCAACCATTACTCTCTAGCATGCTTGACACTGCTTATAGAGAGTAGAAGCTCCTTACAATTTGCTAGATTCCACAAGTAGTGACAAGGACTTCCTGGTTGCCTCTTGTGAAAGCTAGACTTGTGCAGGGTGAAAAACGCGTTTTCCAAACAGAAATTATTTTTTCACTACCTCCAACATTCAGGGATGTCTCTGTCCAGTTTTGCCGACGTTTTTCAGAAAGCCTAAAATCAACTGAAATGGACAGCTCTGTGGCGATGGCCAGTACTTGTTAGCCAGCAACATATGAATATAAACATTTAAAAACACTTGTGTGGGTCAATAGGACATTAGTAGAAATGAGGTTTAAAACCTCTCCAATGCCCCCACTCACTAGGCCATGAGTAGGACATGTCAGCTAAATTGCTAGTAACATACCAGGAGGATCTTGTACAGGTCTATCCCATGTTCCACTCATGGATATCAGGTGGGTACTTTAATTTAAAGAGTGGGGTGTCCACCCCCAAATACCCACATTGGGTATATTATTTAAACAAAGCAGAGGTGAAAAAAAAGCAAAATCTGTTAGTGGCTCTAATTAATAAACCGGGGTTGGGGGGGGGAAGAGGCAAATTCCCCCCAGTTCCTACCGTAGGGGGTGGAAATGTTTACTGTTAAGGCTGCACTAAGACATAGGCGTGATTTGGAGGAGTTATAGGGCAGCTTACAAACAGGAGTGTAATACATTTATATATATTTTGTAAAAACCCTCTTTTTATTTGTTCTTCATTTAAAAACTCTAATGTTTCATAAACTATGAAACCAATTTAAACATTAAAGGGACACTATAGTCACCAGAACAACTACAGCTTATTGAATTTGTTCTGGTGAGTAGAATCATTACCTTCAGGCTTTTTGCTGTAAACACTGTCTTTTCAGAGAAAATGCAGTGTTTACATTACAGCCAAGTGATAACTTCACTGGCCACTCATCAGATGGCTGTTAGAGATCCTCCCTGGGTCATGGCTGCATAAAATGCATCCAAACATTCAGTGTCTCCTCCCTCTGCATGCAGACACTGAACTTTCCTCATGGAGATTCATTGATTCAATTAATCTCTATGAGGAGATGCTGATTGGCCAGGGCTGTGTTTGAATTGTGCTGGCTCTGCCCCTGATCTACCTCTACGGAAGCACCGTGATAGGATCAGGCTACCACTTCTGATGATGGCAGCAGCCTGCTTGTTTTATTTTAGGCAAACAGCATGCAGATCAACAGCTTCTGGCTTGAATACAGTAAGATTTTGCTATATATATTGAGGAATGAGGGGCCCGGGGGGGGGGAGTCGATTTACCCAAAGAAAAGACAATTCATGAAGATCTATTTAATGACTATTTAATAACTATTGCTTATGTTTAAGCACCTTCTTGTGGTGCAAAACACAATCTTTTATTTTTACTAGTTGATATGTTCCCTTTGCACAATGGCCGTTTACACTGAGGTTTTGTACTTTTTTTAAATGAATTAATAAGGTTTTTACCATATTTGGTTTCTGTTGGTATATCCTACATTGTCTGTTTGTTTCTTCACCAAACACCAACCAGACAGTGAATTTGAAAATCCACAGGAAAACACTTACATTTTTTTTTTCCTTCTGACAGGACCAGTTATATATTTCCAATGAATCGTCAACCTTCAATAGAATACATGCTGCATGAAAATACGCATTCAAGCTGATAACTTGTATCATTAGAGTAACTATAGAGTTGACACCAGCGCCTCCTGGTTTGCGGCTATTGATTGATGCACGTTATTGCACAGTCCATTCAGAACATTAGAGAGGATGTTACAAATCACCTTGACCTTGGTAGACTCCCATCATTTTACAAATCATTGGGTTGAGTGTCCAAAGAGTGTCTGATAATACCTAGATTGTAAACTCGTATGAGCAGGGTTTTCTTCATCCTTTGTGTCTGTCCATTTTACTTTTGTCTGTCAAAAACTTGTTTTTAAATAGTTGTTTTTTTATCGTAAAGTGCTGAGGAAAATGTTGGCTCTATATAAATGCTCATAATAATAATAATTTGATGTTTTATCTTTCATTGTCTGCAAATGCTTCACTCACGGCTTATTAAAATTTGACTGAAAGGAGCTGCAGGATAACCCACTAATACATTACTTGAATATCTGTATCTACAAGTGTGACTTCGAGCTACGGACAGGGTTTCAGGCATGAAATACTGCATCCATACAAGGTTCACAGCTTGAGCTCATTCAGAAATTTTCATGAATCTTTTCCTCTTTCTTTTTCCTCTACTCTTAACGCAAACCACCCTGAAGCTGCTTTCCAAACCACAGAAGAGCTTGGCAGCTCAGATATCCTCCTGGTGTTACATAATGCTTTCAGGGAAATAAAAATAGTCTTACTGAAAGAAGCTAAAAGGCCAATAAAAATATTTGGTGGTACCAGTCCATTCATTAAGTGATCAGATTTGTGTAAGATGGATAATGCAAGTTTATAGCGGAAGGTACACAGGGCCCTGGAGATGGGTTCAACACTATTTTCTGTTGTCTGTGTTTAAGTCTAGTTACATCTGGAGTAATGACTCTTCATTTGACAGAGGATTATTGAGATATTAATAAATGTTCTGGTGTTGTATTAATGTCACCTTGCATGTCATTGGAATTTAAAAGAAAAAATCAAATGATATGGACATAAACATTTTTTACATTAATCAGAGTTATTCAAATTCAAATTAAGATTGTCTTAATTCAAATAATTATTAAATAAAAAAAGTACAGAGAAATTAAAGGGACACTTTAGTCACCCAGACCACTTCAGCTCAATGGGTTTTAACCCTTCAGATGTAAACATAGCCGTTTCAGAGACAACAGGGAGCATGAGAGCGATAAGTAGAGGAAAGGGGAAGATGGGTAGATAATGAAAGTTGGTAAAAGCAGTAGAAAAACAGAAGTGCCATTGTTAAGAAGAGGGATGTAATGAACAGAGCATGCAATAGTAGTAACATAACATATAGTAATATTAAGTAACATACACATACATCATTGCTTTAATATATCTACAGCAAACATAAATACATTCCTCCATTCACACACGCATTCACTACACTCAAATGCATACATAACAATCAACATTATTATTATTATTATTATTGCCATTTATATAGCATATGCATTCATAATGACACTGTATGCAAAAAGCACATGCACACTTTCAGACAATGCACAAGTGCATTCACACAGATTTTACACACTCAAATACTAACATACATTTATACACGTCTTCATGCTACGCATTCAAAGGAATACAGTCTTATATGAGAGTTACATTTAACATTTAATGAATGCACATATACAGGGCCGGTGCAAGGATTTTTGCCGCCCTAGGCAAAAGTAAAGTTTGCCGCCCTCCCCCCCCCGTGACATCACGATGCCCCACCCATATGACCTGCCATGTTAACTAACGCTAGTGCTGCAGTGCCACTCTGTTTACATTAAAAGGCCTGCAGGGACAGGCTATAGACACCAGGACCACTACATTAAGCTGCTGTGGTTCTGGGGACTATAGTGTTTCTTTAATGTGAGGTAAATTAGAGATTAGTGCCACGAATAATATACTAGATTACCTACTTACAAGCAGATGAGGATGATGATGGGCTCTAGCTGCAGTCTGGCTCCACTGGTCTGGTGTATAACAGGATCTCTGGAGGCTGTTTGTAACTGTGGTCACAAAAATCAATGTTCTGGGAGAACGAGAAGCAGCTCCATTTTTTGGGGGCCCTTTACATAGCTCAAGGTCTGGGTCCCAGGGTCCACCTTCATGTTCCACCAATGAGTTTGTTCACAGGGGGTAGAGTGTGTAGGGGATGTCCTGATTTGTGTGTAAGGAATGCATTGTGTGAATCTGTGTTTGTATGTGTAAGGGATGTAAGGGATGAAGTGTGTGAGTCTGTAAGGGGTGCTTTGAGTGTGTTTAAGGGGTGCATTGAGTGTGTGTAAGGAATGCATTGTGTGTTTCTGTGTGTGTAAGGGATGCATTGTGTGTAAGGGCTGCATTGCGTGTGTGTGTGTAATGCATTGTGTGTTTTTCTGTGTGCAAGGGGTTCATTGTCTTTGTGTGTAAGGGGTGCATTGTGTGTGATTGTGTGTGTGTGTGTGATGGATGTCAATCTCTTCCCCCCTCCCTTGTCACTCTCTTCTCCCCCCCCTTGTTGCTCTCATTCCCCCTCCCTCCCCTGTCACTCCCCCCTCCCCGTCAATTCCCCTCCCTGTCAATGTCTCCTCCCTCCCTGTTAGTTCCCCCGTTAGTTTCTTCCCCCCACCTCCCTGTTAGTTTCTTACCCCCCACCCTGTTAGTTTCTTCCCCCGTTAGTTTCTTTCTCCCCCCCCCTGTTAGTTTCTTTCTCCCCCCCTGTTAGTTCTTCCCCCCGTTGTTTCCCTTTCTCCCCCCCCCTCCCTGTAGTTTCTTCTCTCCCTCCTCCCTGTTGGTTTCTTTCTCCCCCCCCTGGTTTCTTTCCCCCTCCCTGTCAGTTTCTTTCCCCCCCCCTGTCAGTCTCCCCCCTCTGTTTTCTTTCTCCCCCCCTCCTGTCAGTTTCTTTTCCCCTCCTCCTGTTTTTCCACCCTTCTCCCCCCTCCCTCCTCTCTGTTTCTTCTTCCCCCTCCCTGTTTCCTTCTCCCCCTCCCTCCCTCCCTCTGTTTCTTCTTCCCCTTCCTCCCTGTTTCTTTCTTTCCCCCCCTCCCTCCTGTTTCCTTTTCCCCCCTCCTCCTCTTCTTCCCCCTCCCTCCCTGTTTCCTTCTCCCCCTCCCTCCCTGTTTCCTTCTCCCCCCTCCCTCCCTCTTTCTTCTCCCCCCTCCCCTACCTGTGTTGTAGCGTGGCCGAGCCCAGTATAGTCCGTGGTACAGGGAGCTGTTTCCTGTACCCGGCCGGACTAACAGGAAGTGCACACACTGTGTGCACTTCCTGTTAGTCGGCTGGGTGAAGACAGCTTCCCTATTACAGCAGCTTCAGTGCTACTAGAAATGACAGGAGGGAGCGCTCAGCGCTTTCCTCCTGTCAGCCTCTCCCCATGCTGCGCCCGGGCGGTGCGGTCCACCCTCATGGACGCACCGCCCGGGAAAAGCTGCAGCCGCCTGAGGCTCTTTACAGAGCGCTCGGGCGGCTGCAGGATGAGCGGGGCCGGCGCTCCTGGCGGCGCCCCTTCCCAAGGGGCGCCCTAGGCGGCTGCCTAGTCCGCCTTACAGGTAGCGCCGGCCCTGCACATATATTTGGCCTTCAAAGGGCCTGGGATCTACTTTTTCCAGAGGGGGCCAAAATAATAAATAAATAAATAAATGGTAAATTAAATAAATCAAATAAATTTAAAAAGTAATAAAGAAGTAAATCAGGGATCAGCAGTACCGAATGCTTAATAGGTAAACAAATTTTCAAACTTGCAAATATTGACTAAATGTAGATTGATTTTGAATGGTAAAATACTATTCTTCTTGGTCAGAATTTGGTCGACGGAATTCCGAAAGGAAATAACTTAATTAAAAGGGCGAGAAATTAGTTGTATAACGTACGGCAAAAAATATATTTACATAAATATTATGCATATATTTTGCAGTACAGTGCTAGGTTAATTTTTCATGACCTTTTACTTTGAATTGCTTTCCCGGAATCGTTTGCATGGATGGTATTCGGATGAGCTAAGTTGCCACCTCAATGAAATTTGGTCTACCATATTAAGATTTGTTCATCCAAACCTAATGTTTACACTGTGCACAAGTCTAAGGTACCATTAAGAGAGGAAGATCCTAAATATTTTTTTTTATCAACTAATTGTCTGTGTACCAAAACAGGCCCTCAGTCCATTCCTCCCAAAAAAACACTTTAGGCAGTAACGTAACTGGGCAGCATTTGATATATTTTAGCCTCATTAATGTGCAGTATTTTATCTTTTTGCACAAAAAAATAAATGTTTTGCAGTATTCTGCTCCATAAGCCTGTGAACACATTAAACACACTTAATTGATTCTACATAGGCTGCAAGAGCAGGCTTATTTTGAAAATGTCTCCATACTTACCATAATTTCCATTTCCTGGATATCCATTGCAACATTACAATAGGGATAAGCTCTGCCCACTTGGCTGTTGGGGACAGGAAAAAAATTATAAATAGGATATCCCCTTCGTTAGGTCTCCAGTTTTATAAAAATGAGATCCATTAGAGTAGGGTGGGATTAAAAAACTGATGCTTCCATGGATATACTCAGGAAAATAAATGTTCTAAATTCCTGGCTTATCCATGGCAACATCACAATAGGGCAATACCCACACTACATTACAGGAGGGATTGTGATACAAAATAAGGATAAATTGATTGTTGAATAGAGAATTTTATTTACAAAAGTAATCTATTTTTCTAATATTAAACAATAGTGACTTTCACGTCTAAATAAAAGTGCTCCAAGTGCAATATTTTAGACAAAGAACAGTCACTTCCCTTTTTGGATATAAACCCGAAGATCTCCTCACAACAATCTTCACAATAAAGTATATATATAAATGGGGTAAATCCATTTAAGGGAAGAAATAACACAACATAGTGCAGAACTGTGTGTTTGCAATATTTAAATATGAGACAAATGGCCACTCACAATGGTAGGAAATAAAAGAGCATTCAAAGTATATACAGGTGCAGGTCAGCTGGTGATTCAGGAAGATGGGTCCCTCCGAGTTATAAAAAGGAACAACAAAGTTTCCAGTTATGAGGCAATCCAAATAAAAAGTGTAAAAATTTATTTATTAACTCACATAGAAGTTGCCAGTTATCAGCATAAAATTAGTCGTCCTACGCGTTTCATCCCATTTCAGGACTTCCTCAGGGAAAATCAAACAATCACCAAGATCCAACACAGTAAAGGAGGAGACTATATTTTAAAGAAGAAAAACTACCACAACAAGAGGACATAGTCTTAAATTAGAGGGACAAAGGTTTAAAAATAATATCAGGAAGTATTACTTTACTGAGAGGGTAGTGGATGCATGGAAGATCCTTCCAGCTGAAGTGGTAGAGGTTAACACAGTAAAGGAGTTTAAGCATGCGTGGGATAGGCATAAGGCTATCTTAACTATAAGATAAGGCCAAGGACTAATGAAAGTATTTAGAAAATTGGGCAGACTAGATGGGCCGAATGGTTCTTATCTGCCATCACATTCT